CCCAACATATAGCAAGTTGAAGCTCAATGAAGCAACATAGAGCACATTGGAGATGGAATGATCATTTGATATTGCCACTTTGCCCAATCCTTTAACCTTGCCCTTTGAATTATCTCCAAATGTTATTTTCTCTTGTCCATCTACCTCTTCATCTAGTGAGGTGAACATACGAGGATCACCGGTCATATATTGAGTGCAACCACTATCAATAACCCAATGACTTCCACCGGTCTTGTAGTTCACCTACACACAAGAGATTCAAGCTTTAGGGATCCAAACTTGTTGAGGGCCCTTCACCTTCTCAACAAGTGACTTAGCCACCCAGATCTTCTTAGGCATACTCTTGTTGGGGGGTCCTAAGAACATAACTTTCATCTTTCCACTAGAATCTTTTCTAAGCATGTAGTGAGCATTGAAAGTAAAGGGTCTAGCATGCTTGGGCAAGGGTTGTGGTGGTGGAGTTTGACACTCATGAGCAAAGTGGCCTTCTTGTCCACACTCAAAACATCTCTTTGGCTTTGGCTTTGGCTTTGGCTTTGATTGTTGGTGTTGAGCTTGGGCCTTCATCTTTTCTACACTTGCCATATATCCAATGCCACTTCTATCCATCTTCATGACGGTATTCATGAGTAGCTCACTTTGGAGATGCTTGCCTCTAGCAAACTTGCTCAATCCCACCTTGAGATGCTCTTTCTCTATCTTGAGCTTCTTGTTCTCTTCCTTGAGAATATCATTGTTCTTCTCTTCCTTGAGTTTCTTGTTTTCTTCTTTTAGCTTCTCATTCTCAAGGATCAACTCTTTGTCATGATCAAGAGTTTCTATCACAATGGTGTTGTGACTTTTCATCTCTTCAAGATCTTTCATGAGCTTCTCATTGTCACTCTTGATCTTGACATACTCATCATAGTCATTGCACTCAACCACTTGCTTGCCTTTGCTACTAGATCCATGCTCAATGTGCTCATCAATTAAATCATCACATGAGGTAGCTATATCAATCTTAACAACATGGTTAGTAGCAACATGTGGCTCATTTGGTAAGAATTCTTGTGCAATAACAAGGGTATCATAATTGATCTTTAGAGTTGTATATTCATCTTTTAGCTTGTTGTGACTAGTGATAAGCTCATTGTGCACCCACTCAAGTTTATCATATTTATCTTTAAGCTCTTTCTTAGAAGATTTGAGCTCCTTGAGTTTGGATGATATAGAATCATTTGTTTCTTTGAGCTCATCATTAGCCTTTTCTAATGTATCACACTTAGCTAAGAGTGAATCATTTTTAGCATCAAGTTTTTCATTTGTAGCTCTACTCTTTCTAATGATCTTAGTGTATTTTCTTAATATTTTGACAAGATCATCATATGTGGGTGAATCATCATCGCTATCGCTATCATCATCACTAGCTTGCTCATCATCACTACTATCATCACTCTTAGTTACCTTGCGTTCACCCTTGGCCATAAGGCATAGGTGTGTAGAGGATGATAGCGATGGTGGCGGTGAGGATGCAAGATCAATAGCAATGGCGGCCACCTTCTCATTATCACTCTCATCATCTGATGATCCACTTGATGAATCAATATCCATGAGCCAATCACCGACAATATAGGCCTTGCCACTCTTCTTCTTCTTGTAGAAGTCTCTCTTTTTGCCATCTCCCTTCTTGTATGGCTTGCTCTTTTTCTTTTCATCTTCATCACTTGAATCATCTTTCTTGCCCTTGTTCTTGAACTTGTCTTTCTTGGGCTTTGTGCATTGATGAGCTAGGTGGCCAAGTTCGCCGTAATTGTAGCAATCCATCTCGAAGATTGGCTTTCTTCTTGAGCTAGTGAAGAACTTCTTCTTCTTGCCGTCAAACTTGATGCCACTCTTGTTTAGCTTCTTTAGCATCTTGGCGGTCTTCTTCACCATGAGAGCATGACTTTCTTCATCATCTTCATCACTTGAGCTCTCATACTCAAGTCTAGCCTTGCCCTTATCTTGGCTAGCTTTGAATGCTAAGTCTTTCTCTTTCTTCTTTGTAGAGGATGAGCCATCTTGTGGTGTGATGTGCATATACATATCATGAGCATTGATCTTTCCCAAGATTTGTGTCGGTGTAGCGGCGGAAAGATCATCTTGATGTAGCACGGTCACAATGTGCCCATATTTGTCAATGAGGAGGACACTCAAGATCTTTCTCACAACGTCGGATGGTGACATTTGAGTAAGTCCAAGCCCATTGACTTCCTCTACAAGAACATTTAAACGAGAATACATTTCATTAGCACTTTCTTTGGGAAGCATCTCAAAAGAATTTAGCTTTTTAATTACAAGATGATAGCGTTCCTCACGCTCACTCTTGGTTCCCTCATGGAGCGCACAAACGTCCGACCATAGTGCATGAGCGTCTTTGTGGTTCCTTACACGATTGAACACATCTTTGCAAAGGCCTCTAAAGATGGTGTTGCGAGCCTTTGCATTCCATTTTTCATAGTTTACTTCATCGCCTTGGAGTTGTGCGGCATTCTTAAGTGTTGGGAACCCTTGAGAGGCGGCTCTAAGAATTCCAACATCTAGAGCTTCTAGGTAAGCCTCCATGCAAATTTTCCAATATGGAAAATCATCCCCCTCGAAGATAGGAGGAGGTCCATCCCCGTGAGACATCTTGCTCTAAGCGGTTAAGCTTAAAAACATAAGCACGAGACTCTGATACCAATTGAAAGGATCAAGATGCCCAAGAGGGGGGGGGGTGAATTGGGCTAATTCTAAATTTTCTTGTAATAATCTAATCCTACAGATAGCCCAATTAACCCCTTGTGCTTAGAAAAGTGTTTCTATCAAATTAACGCATAAAAGACTTGCAACCTATGTTCCAAACTTACTCTAGCATGTCAATTCTATGAATGTAAAGACAAGTATTGAATTGCTCAAAGTAAATACTTAAAGTAAATGCTCAAGGTAAATGGAGAGAGGAACGCGGCGATGTTTTGCCGAGGTATCGGAGAGTCGCCACTCCCCACTAGTCCTCGTTGGAGCACCCGTGCAAGGGTGTAGCTCCCCCTTGATCCACGCAAGGATCAAGTGCTCTCTACGGGTTGATTCTTCGACACTCCGTCACGGCGAATCACCCAAAGCCGCTCACAACTTAAGTTGGGTCACCCACAAGCTCCGCCGGGTGAACACCAAGCTCCCAATCACCACCAAGCCGTCTAGGTGATGGCGATCACCAAGAGTAACAAGCACGAACTTTCACTTGACCATGCGAAGCCTAATGAGAAGATAGATGCACACTTGACTACTCTTGATTCACTAATGAGGTTTCACTCTTGGATTCTCAAATCACAAACACCTCACTAGGACCTTGCTCTTCTTGACACTCACAAACGTGTTTCTCAGCTGTTTGAATGAGCAAAAGTCACTCCACACACGAGTGGAGCTTTTATTTATAAGGCAGCCTGAAAAACGAACCGTTATGAGCTTCTGCGGGGTGACCGGACGCTCCGGTCGTGTTGACCGGACGCTCCGGTCAGTTCAACCTGCGAACCAGTAAAAATGTATTGACCGGACGCTGGCAGGGTCCGGTCAGCACTGACCGGGCGCGTCCGGTCGCATAAAACCCTTACTGGAACCTTACTGGACTCGACCGGACGCTGAACCCTTAGGGTCCGGTCAGTACCGACCGGACACGTCCGGTCGCAGATTCCCTTCACTGGAACCTTTCTGGAGTCGACCGGACGCTGCCTTTCAGCGTCCGGTCACTTGACCTCTCCAGCGTCCGATCACACCGAACGTAGACGTTGATCAAATGAACTGACCGGATCCTGCGGCCAGCGTCCGATGACACCGGGGCCAGCGTCCGGTCAGTGTTTGACCCTCCATTCACTTCCAACTTCCGAACATATGTGAATGAAGTTTGCTCCAAAGAATCTTAGGCATTCATAGGAGCTACCTAGAGCTAGTTTTGACAAGTGTGCACCACACCTAACTCACTAGACTCAACTAGGTCAAGCTACCCATCCATACCCCCCTTAATAGTACGGCCAAAGGAAAAACAAAGTCCTAAACTACTCTAAGTGTCTCTCCAACTCCAATCGACACTTAGAACTAGTCATCCTTAACCTTGTCGTCCATCCTTTAAAAACCAAAACGATTTCCATTGAGGGGGCATGACAACTTTGATTGCCTAATTGATCTTCGTTACCATGACCTAACTTAATTGCCTCTGCAAAACACACGTTAGTCATAGTAATCTTGTATTGTCATTAATCACCGAAACCCAACTAGGGGCCTAGATGCTTTCAGGCGTGCGTAGGCGTGGTGGCTGCATGGGGCGAGGTGGAACTTCTGGTGCAACAGAAGGTGGAGGGTGTGGGTGGCAGAGGGCGGCGCGGGTCTGAAGGCTTGATTGAGTGCTTAAGAAGTTCGCGAGGTCGTCGAGCGGGAATGGAGCTCGCAGGAGTGGGGCCAGGGATGCGGGAGGAGGCAAATGGGGTGGAACCTGACACTTTGGATTGGAGCCCGGCTCCGGTGTTATTTGGGCGAGCTTTGGTCCCAGTGCCCTGCCACACATAGTCGATATGTCACCGTGCTAGCAAGCTCTGCTCCAGCCTCGCCACATGGGCTCTACCTTGCCGTGAGCGCCCATGGCCGGCGGCTTGACGTTGGTGTTCATGGTTCCAGTAGATACGTGCACATGAAAGCCAAGACGATGAAAGGAAGAAGAAAGAAAGAAAAAGACTAGCAAGTGAGCTCTATATGTCATATGGTTGTTTCTATTTTTCTTATCTCCAGACTAAACAGAAAACAAGATATTCAGTCCTTATCAACCAAAACATATAAACGGCACACTCCCATCTAGCTGTCCTTGAAAACTAGGACGACTTTTACTAACCAAAAATATGAAACATGGCTACGTTCGAATTCTTGGAAGATCTATATTTTCGATTCGGAAACACTTATGTTCCCACGTTATAAAATAATATCATAAGTTTCCGTTTTCGTTCTCTTATGGGAACATGGCTGTTAAGAGGCGGCCCGTCCCAGCAAAACCACGTTCCATCTTTAGAACCGCCGCCATTGCTCGTCACGCACGCTCTCGGTTCCCCTTAGATCCAGGCCGCCTAATTGTACATCGGACGGTTCCCCTCGATGTCCCGGATCATGAGCCAACAGCGCTCCAGCATCGTCCTGTGGCCCAGCTTCCGTTCTTCGGCACTTCTCTCGCTTCCTGCTTTCCTAGGCAAACGGTCGAACACCTCAACGGCAAGGCGCCTCCACCAATGCGCGCTCTACTCCGCCTCCGGTGCCGGCCATCTCTACCCCTGATCGCGAGGACCTCCTCCTCGTCCTCCTCTTCCGAGCCCCACGAGATCCCCACCATCTACTCCTTCCTCCAGCCATCCATCTTCGCGCCGCGCCCCAGGCCCCAACCGCCGCCGCCGCCGCCCCCCGGGGCCCATGATCCCGCCCCCAGGAAGACGCTCCCCGTCGCTGACGCCGCCGCGCTCGAGTCCGACCTCCTCGCCGCCGTCGCCGAGAGCCGCTCGGACGACGCGTGGCTCGCGTTCAAGTCCCTGGCCGCGGCATCCCGCTCGCCCTCGCCCCACGCCGCGGCGGCGCTCGTCTCCCACCTCGCCGCCGCCGCCACCGGTCAGCACCGGCTCGGCCTCAAGCGCGCCTTCGCCGCGGCCGTCTTCCTGCTGGAGAAGAGCCCGCACGCGGCGCCCGTCCCGGAGCCAGCCCTCGGGGCGCTCTTCTCAGCGCTCGTCGCGGCGGGGTCCGCTGCCCCGGCGGTGGCGCTCGCGCGCGCGATGCTCCGCTGCGGGCGACGCCTCCCGGCGTTCTCCGTCTGGGGACACCCGCTTATCGAGCTCACCCGCGCCGACCCGGGCGCCTTTGCGGCCTTCCTAAAGGTGTTCGACGAGGCCTGCAAGCTCGTGGTGGAGGAGAAGTCCCCTGCTGAGGCGGCGGTGATGCGCCCTGACCGCGCTGCCTGCAATGCTGTCCTTTCTGGTTGCTGCCGCGGGCTAGGTTCGCTGGCAGATGCGGAGCGGGTGCTGGAGACTATGTCGGCTGTTGGGGTCTCGCCAGATGTGGAGAGCTTTGGGTGCCTCGCCTTCCTGTATGCTTGGAGAGGTGTTCGCAGTCGGGTTGATGAGCTCGATACATTGCTTGATGCTCTGGGCTTCAGCAAGAAGGGCTTTTTCAAGAATCTGGTTAGTGGGTACCTCAAATCTGGTGACTTCGAGTCAGTTTCACCAATCATTCTTCGTGCAGTGAAGGAGCGCAGAGTTGGGGATGGCAATGGATTTGATGAGGAAACCTACAGTGAGGTTGCTCAGTGCTTTGTTGATCATGCGAGAATTAAGGAACTAGCTCAGTTGATCATCCAAGCGCATGAGGTTGAGCTCACTCAGCAATCTATGTCAGTTGAGGATTCTGTTGGGTTTGGGATTGTCAATGCTTGTGTTGAGCTTGGCCTATTGAACAAAGCTCATAGCATACTCGATGAAATGACGGCTCAAGGAGCCTCTGTAGGGCTTGGTGTCTACTCTTCAATCCTGAAAGCCTATTGCAAGGAGCACAAAACTGCAGAGGCTGCACAGCTTGTGGCAGAGATTAGTGCATCCGGGCTAAAGCTTGATGCTGGTAGTTATGATGCTCTTATTGATGCTTCCATGACAGCCCATGATTTCCAGTCTGCATTTGCTCTTTTCAAGGACATGAGGGAGGCAAGGCTACCAGAACTTAGGACAAGTTATCTTACTATAATGACAGGCTTGACAGAAAACAACAAGCCTGGCCTCATGGCTTCCTTCTTGGACTCAGTGGTTGATGACCCGAGAATCAAGATTGGTACACATGATTGGAATTCAATAATACATGCTTTCTGCAAGGTCGGGAGGTTAGAGGATGCTAGAAGGACATATCGAAGGATGGTATTCCTTGGATTTGAACCAAACAATCAGACATACCTTTCACTCATTAATGGTTATGTCTCAGCTGAGAAATACTTTAGTGTGCTCATATTGTGGACAGAAGTGAGGAGGAAGGGGACTGAATTCAACCATGAGTTGATTGATGCCTTTCTTTATGCTTTGGTGAAAGGAGGGTTCTTTGATATGGCGATGCAGGTGATTGAAAAGGCGCAAGAGTTCAAAATATTTATTGATAAATGGAGGTATAAGCAAGCATTCATGGAAACACATAAGAAACTAAAAGTTGCAAAGCTAAGAAAGCGAAACTTCAGGAAAATGGAAGCCCTGGTAGCTTTCAAAAACTGGGCTGGTATCAATACATAACGTCGCAACCTTGATTTATCAACCTGTTATGTGTGGGATTGAATTCATCATCTTCAGAAAGCTGTAGCAAGCACTATGGATCTTTAGAGATGGTTAAAGTAAAGAATCTGTTTGGCTGTGATAAATTTGTACCAAAGGTTAGATAAATTGGCTCACTTGAGTTCTCTATGTTATTTATAGGACTGGATGTTTACTTTTTGTACTCTGTAGCTATACTGACGTGTCTAGGCACTAGTTTTCAATAAGACCTGGTTCCAACTCCAGACCATGTATAATACTGAAATGATCAATGACAAGTTTCTCTTGAAATACCTTGCTGAAGTGCATTTCTTTTGGTTTGGTGGTAAACAAAATGAGATGTCTTGAGATTTTTTTTTTCACCTGTCCCTTCACATTGTTCAATCCTTTCACTCCCCACTAACATTCGAAAATTAGTTTGACTTCCTAAACCAGCTTCAGTTATCAAGCGTCATGCATGTATTATGGCTGTGATAAATTCTTCGTCCAGCTCCATGTGTGACTAGCCTAAGGATTTCAACATTGATCTGTTGCTATCGACCTCTTGCATATAAACCAATGACTCGAGATTGGTCAATTGCCATTCTGGTGTTGTAGCAGATGAGCAGTAAACTTATCATGCAAAACCAAATCAACAAGCAAATTAAGGTTTTAACATGGCATACATTATCAGACGACCGGTCCACATAACACAAGTTTGGTTCCACTAACATTATTACAGGCTCTTGATACAAGAGCAGTTCCACATAGTAGACGGAACGGGGACTAAGTTTACTATATAGGGTATATATTGCCGGGAGAAACGCAGGCGACCAAAGCTGATGGATTCCGTTTCAGTATTCTTGATTTAAATAGCAGCCTCCACAAGCATTGGACCTCCCTTTCTCCCTATGGAAAACAACAAAGGGGTTAGTATCCTCTATATAGAAAAGGGTGGCTCCGCCATTAGTCAATTTTGACGGTGCTAATAATCATCAACGAAGAGGAGTACCTTGCTGTTATCTAGTTGACAGGCTGGATGCTCTTATAGAAAACAGGGTGGCTGTTCAACAGAGCGTCTTTGATGTTGGCAACGTTGTCTGTCATGATCTTGACTGCCGACGTCACTGAGCGAGGGCAAAGGCCAGTCCCACGGGCCAGCTTCATCAGAATCTGGAACCCTGCAGTCATCACAGTTGCCCCAGGCTGTGCAATGCCGGCGCCATCGTGCCCCGCCGGGTCGGTGAGGGGAACCAGGGAGAAGCCGGCGGGGAAGAGGCTAATGTTGCTCATTGCCTGGTTGTCACCAATTACCTCCATGAGCTGTTTGTCAAGAGAGGAGTAGACCATGAACGCTCCAGACGCATCGTAGCAGGTGTTCTGCAGGATCATCATGGTGTCCCTGTTTGCCCCGTGGCCATGCTGATCGATTTGCAACTACTCGAGTCAGATGTGAAAAATGCAGTGCAGGTGTAATCACAATTCGGAAATGAATGAAACTGCGTCGAGTGCCATCAGTGCTCGGTATGTAATGTTCTGGTACCTTGACATGCAGGATGGAGACAGCGTCGTTACTTCCGGTGCCATTGGCTACACGAACCTCCTCCTTCACGGAGCCTCCATTCACCAGGACGTCCCACTGCCAGCCACCACCCGTTGGTAACGTGAGTAGAGAGACAGGGGATTGCGTTGTTGCCATGTCATGTGACCTGTGGACGACGGAGAGAGACCGGGGTTCGTCGGCGTACCTTGGCACGCAGCATATTGTTCTTGAGCAGGTCGAACGCTTTCCCCATGTGCAGCGGCACCAGGAACGACGCGCTCGCGCACACGACCGCGGTGTGGCTGCTGCTGCTGCTCTCGTTTTGCGTCTTGTACATGATCTTGATGTCTTGTTCCGTGCCCAGCCCACACTGGACGGTCCAGGCGTCCTCATGGTAGGCGGCGACGCTGCTGGTGAAGTTGGCCAGCAGATTATCTGCCAGCTTCATGATGGTCTTCCTCCCCCTTGAAGTGACTGAAACCAGGACTAAAAGTTTATATCTCTCTGATTCAAGTGGGCAGTGAGAGTCTCAGATAGTAATCAGACAGTATATTTATGCTGCAATTGCCCATTACCGTTGAGGGTACAGTTGGTGACATGGAACACGTCTCTGATTCGCGCGCACTGTCGCGCCATGCTCGTCACCCAGCGCCTGGCTCCGAAGAGGAGGCCGCTCAGGCATGGACCGAAGAGGTCATGAGTGTTAGTGCCATCTACTAGAACGTGATCGATGGCGGTGACCTGTGAAGTAGTTTTGGAAACAAGATCAAACATAGACATGGTACAATGCTCGATGCAGTCGTATAATAACAGTTATTACAGGGTGAAGTTTTAGTTCGAGCCTTTCCCTATCTGCGATGTGATACATACCTTGCAGCTGTTGTACCTTATGGGCTGGATCAGTAGCCCTGATGGCATCTTGCGGCACCTAGCACCGTCGTCCAAAGACACGTCGACGACGGCAATGGCTCCCTGCTGTTCCAGCCTCTTGCAGTAGCGCACGAACGTGCATTTCCGAGCCGCCACCAGAGGCGAGGGGAACACCAGCTCAACAGTCATCTGTCGTTTTCAGTGCAAAAGAGAAAGGACCATCTGTGAGTAACAGTTAGTAAGAGAACACATCTTTCACCAGGCACTGTTTTCTTCACATATACTAAGCTTGTTAACAAGCTTCTCCTCTCTGCTAAATCTACGAAGAAACAATTCATACCATCTGCATAGCCCCATCATAGTATTCCTCGCGACCGGTAGGACAACTGTACACCTTGGTGGTCTCTGCAGCGGACACGAGTCCAGGGAGCATTGTGGCATAGCTCTCCTGCAGCCATTTCAAGCCGAGTTCATCAGATTTCGTATCGACAATGGTAAGTATATATGGCATTAGCTTCTATCGATCGATGTCAGCATGCTACTCACAGCATCCATGAGAAACTCCACAATACTTTTAGGGTCCAGCATGACCACAGCGCTGGCACGGGTAGCCTCTGTCTTCATAGCGATGGTGTCTACACCCATCTGCCCAGGAAATGTTTGGGCGTAGGCAACCATGTTCAGTGTTTCGAAGGAACCACGGGGGACATTCAGCCAGAGAGCGCTATTGGGGTCAGCCAAGATGAGAAACTCCTGTGCTGCGTTCTGGGCTAGGTTGGCAAGCATCTGCTCGTCATGTTGCACTACGAAGACATTTTCTAACGAGGGATCAAGTTGGAAAGCGCCGGCAGCTGAATCCATAGCCATAGGTATTTCATTACCCGTGCTTTGTAGTAGCTGCAGACAAAGAACAGATGCAAGATCATATCGGTGGAATTCGAGATTCATATTTTATAATACTTTGCAGCTTGAGGTGTAATAATCTTCCCGCTCTGAGAAGAAGTATAATCTGTATATGGTGCAAAGTTGCAAACTGACAGTCCCAATGTCCCATGCATGTTTTTTTTTTCTGTGACTTCCCATGCATGTTGGTTAGGAAGAGTGAAAATATTTTGCTGGGGACAATAGTTATATATATGCTATACCTGCAACTCTTGCTGCAGCATCTGGTTAAGCTCCTTCAGCCGTTCAACTTCTTTCTCGAGTAGGAGGTGTCCTGGATCATTAATGCATCTGGGACAGGGAGCAGGAGCAGGAGCATTGCTCTGCAACTGCCTAAGCCTATTGTTTTCCTCCTCCAGCGTATCATTCTCTACTTTCAACCTGTAGTTCTCTTCTCTTCCACTTAGATGCTATTTGTGCCATAAAACTTAGAATGGTTAGAGATTCCAAATGATCAAATAGCTCAAGTATGAATATAAAAATCTGTCAGCGAAAGTCGAGGGTGTCTGGTACTATTACTCCTACTATGTCAAGGATTCGTCCTGATTTTTCGATGCTACAAGTCGCCATTATTAGCAAAAATAAAAATGCAATCTATTAGAAACAAAAGGCCAATAGTAAAGCTAGGGGAACGAATAAACTAAACAGTGAACACTTAGCAGGTTTTATTTTGCATAGCTAACGACCAACATTATCACGGAAAATCGCAATGATATAAAACCAGACCTTTACATGGGTCCTCTTATTCTGGAACCAAAACTTCACTTGATGTAGCAAAAGACCCGTCGACTCACTCAGCTGCCTCCTTTGATTGTCATCAGGGTGTGCGCATATGCTGAAGAATCTGCATGCGCGTTCGACAACAACAAACATAAGACAAATGATAATATCTCCAAGAAAAGGCAACTGATAGAAAGGAAAATATTTGTTTAATTCTCAGGAACAAGTAACAACTCAAGAAATGCGACTAGTAGGTTGACTTGCACTTTTTTTCTAAAAAGATATTATTTTACTTTATTAGCTTCAAGTCAACAATGTGTTCACAAGGAACCATACCCTTCAAGTATTTCTAACTGCTGGCTGGTGACCCTGTGTAGCGACCTCTTGTTTGGCTGTGGACCATCCTGGCGATCACCGCGTTTCTTCTTGTTTTTGCCTGCGGTGCTCGAACCAACCTCAGTGATTCTAGCGGCACCATCACCGGGGCTTTCTTCATTACCATTGTTTGCATGCACTTCCACAGACTGATTGCTTGGACCATTTTCAGGTGTATCGTTCTGTTAGAGTGAAGACACTTTCAGTGTTAGATTTGTCCATTCTAAAAGTCAATAGTAGAAAAGGTTATTTCGAAACTTAGTGCAAAAGAGCATCAAGCAAAACATACAAGGCTCTGTAATGAAAATATAGCACATCGTTGTTTAGATCCTTGATCTTTCAAGACCTACTATTGTGTTATATCGTTTCAAGGATCTATAGACACTAACCGTGTAACCCTTAATTTAGACTTGTATAGAATATAATGCTAAGTGATTAGGCCGTCTCCATGGATTTGAATGCTTGTATCACAAAACACGCTGATAGTACATAATAAACAATTTTGGCAAACCATGCTAGTAGTTAAGGGTCTAAGGACCCCCGACAAGAATACAGATAAAATCTGGTACCGTAATTTACAAGCTCTAATACCAACAAATGAATGATACTAGCGACTAACTATTTACCTTAAAAAACATGTCCATATATAGATCTAACCTCTTCAAAAATGACCTAAGAAGTATGGGATTTAATATTGAATCCAATATAGAAAACAAGAGCCTATTTAGATTTTTGAAAAGAATTTCTTGTGGAAAGGTTACTAAAAGAAACATTTTAGGAAAACAATAAAAGAACTAAAATTTTAGAACTCTACCATATATCAAAAGCAAAGATTGATTAAAGACCATGGGAGAAGAATAACTTATTGAAAAGTTGGTTGAAATGAGAAATCCAACTAATTAAGAGAATTAATTAAATTTATCCTTTTTCAAGAAACAAAACAACAATCCAGTAATAAACTTTGACAAAATAAGATGAAGTGAGTTAAAAGAAAACTCAAAGAGAACAAAAACATCGAACCAAGGAAAATCCAAGAAATATACTACAAAGGCTCATATGAGAAGGTGGTATTGAAGAAACTTATTGTAGCAACGAAAGATTATGCTCTTACATGTCGATTCTAGGGGCAAAATATGTTGAAACCTTTCTTAACAGGATGCAAGAAAATCCAACAAAACATGAGAAAATACCATTTGTGATTGAAGCCCACCGCCAACACCACCAAACGGCCCCATCAAAGATGGGTAGTCAATAACACAAAGCGGCCCCATCAAAGATGGGTCATTGATACCACCAGTAGGCTCCATCAAAGATGGGTCACCTCCTGATGGTTCACCTCTTTCCATCTTCAAGTTAAATACAGTACCTACAAGTTGCTTCGAGTGTTTGGTTTAGTTAGTCTTCCTAACATTCCCCTTGCTTTTCCCTTGCCCTCCCCTCTATTTATAGGCACCACTAAACTATGACTTTGATTTTTTTGAGGGAAACTATTATTATGTATGGTCCTCGCGCAGGCATGGTGTGATATGTGTACATGTTAGAGGAGAGAGAAAAAGGTAGGCGATCGAAAGAGATCTCTACTTCTTTTTTTTATTATAATTATTTTCTTAAACTATAAGCCATCATGCATAAAACATAATCAAGGGACAATAAAATAATCAAGGGTGAAATTTTCCAGCTTAATTCACCCGTGTACATTCTATTAAAAAATGCAAGGAAGATTAGGAGGATTTGAGCAAAATTGGGAAAATTTAATTAGGTGGTGACATCTTGAGTAAAATAGTTGATTGGTGTATTTATCTCATATAGTCATATACTAGTTGTCTCCTATGCTATTAAAGCAGTACAATAAATACATAACAAGATGAAAACTTAACAGTGTGAAAGTGGAGGGGGAAATGAAGAACATAATAAACAAAAAAAATCTTGTAAATCATACTTGATATCACAAGATGGCAATAGAAATACAAAATCTCACTTAGTGATAGAAATATAAAATATTAGATTTGTTGCCTCAAATGGTTCACCTATCTTAACAATTACAATGGGTAACATGAAGTGTTTTTGGTGAGTCTAGAATTTACAGAATGCAACCAAAACAAATTTAATTAAATTTTAATGGATTATGGAAATCATGGCACAATTGTAGACAATTATATAGAATCAGGGATATATTGGATGTGAAAAAAATGCAAAGATTGTATAGATGTTCTCCACATATACTATTTTCATAATTTTGACTGTTATAAGAGTCTTTGAAATGAATAAAAGGAAATTCACAACTAAAAGACTTGCATACCGTTTCAACTAATTACCAAGGTGGTGTGAAAAGATTGGGTCAATATCTAACCTATATATTAGCTCAATCGACAATCGGATATGATTTTTTATAACAAAAGAGACTGGACCTCTTGCGTTCACTAAAAAGGATAATAAGATAGAGAGAGGCCATTAAGAAGGGGTGTGCCACCAAACCCAAACGGGGCCAAACCCATAGCCCCCGGCCTTACTTCCGCGGCCTCAATAAGGCATTACACACCGACAAACATGGCACACAATCGGATACCATGTTGAGCCGTTAAAGATACTATCAAAATATGATGGGTTAGGCCGCAAGAACAACGATTTCTTTCTTTTTTTTTATTAATGTCTTGCATTGTCGTATTTGGGCCGTCCGTTATAGAGACCGCTATAGTAGTTGGACTACGCTCTTACAAGAAAGTGTTGCGGCCTTTTCGAAATCTATTGACACTGGGCTCACCGTTACGAGGACACAACAGGCGACTTGGACATCTAATGGTCCATCTAAGCTGGTGTTCTTTTATTTTTACTTAAAAATGTGCAAAAGCTTTGCCCTATGCCAAATTCATTGACCTTAGTTTTTATTCCTTTTACTAGATCATATATACTACTCCCTCCGTTGCTTAATATAAGTCATATAGTTTTTAGCACCAATATTAACGCACGGCTTGGGGAAGGATGTGGGACCGATGAAAAAAAGGAAAATCAGGCCATCTTCTCTCTCCCAATCAGATTGCTTCCTAACAAACTGTAACAAACCCCACAATCCTCTCTCTCCCCTGATCGGTTTCCCCTCTTCCTCATTGGACCCACCGCTCACGTTTCCTCATGACGACGACGCGCTACGCTTATTTCTCTCTCTCTCTCTCAGCATGCATGCGGAGGAAAAGCTTGACAAGTTAAAAAGCGATGGAATTTTTGGCTCATCCAAAAATTCCAGCAGAGGAGGGAATCACAATGGCGCCAATGATCGAAAATTTTTGTTTTGTAAACAAATGACCACGAGCTATAAATTCCCCCCTCCCCATCGTTATCTCACCAGTCTCCCTCCGAGCTCGACATCTCTAATGGCTGGTCGCCGCTCCCGGGTGGATCAACTGGGATGCCCTCGGCGACGAGGCGGAGGAGGATGCTGCCGAGTTGAACTACGACTACGAGTGGCTTGAACCAGGTTTTCCCACTTTGATTCATCGTTTCTGCAATCGATTCTGCATTCGTTTCGCGATCTGTGCATAATTCGGATTTGCTATCTTGACAGAGGTAGAAGTGATAGAGTCGTATGGCAACGGTGGAGAAGAAGGGGACGGCCACGCCGGACTAGGTGGTCATGGCGACACGGGACAAGCACGTCACGGACACGGCCATGTCCTTGACGTCCGCGAAGGACTCGGTGGCCCACTGCTCGGTGGTCGCCATGGTCTTGCGCACCGGGTGCGGTCCATGGTCAACAGCGCCATGGTCGGCGCTCATGGCGTGGGCGCCAGCAGGGAGGACGCACTGCAGTTACGTGGGCGAGCTCGCCTGGGACTAACAGGTTGCCGTCTTCGTGTCCTTGTCCATTGGAAGCGAGATTGCTTGCTTTGTCTTCTCCTTGGGCACGGAAGATGAGTTGCAGTTGTCCATGGAGTCTGGCGTGAAAGAGAGGGAGAGAAACAACGCGTGCCAGACTCGATGGAATGCATATGTACGATAGGTATCGATCGTTCTGTTAAGAAAAAAAAAGATTCGTAAATCTAAGGGATTGGTTGGGGCATGTGTTATGTACGGTGGGAAGGTTTCCAAACTAATCGGCATGGGAGCTGATACATACCTATATTTTGGAATTTTCTTTAGAAATCTATATGACTTATATTAAAGAACGGAGGGAGTATATGAATTTGTATGGGCCAACTCTACCGATATATATATATATATATATATATATCGGTCTTAATTAGCTATTCCCTGCAGATCGAAGGTAAAGTTTTTTCCTTGCAAATAAATAGCACAGCTTATTATGGAAATAAGCATAAAGGGAACATTGTCAATACTAAATCACATTTCCATCAGCACTGAATTAATAATCAACAATACATACATTACATCAACATTTGATACACTATACATTAATAAAAACAAATTCACTCACTCAACCGGATATATATGTATAATTTGAGTAAGCTAGTAAAAGCAGCCGTGTGATGATCATCTCCCTCCACTTCGCGCGCATGCGAACATTTTAAATAAACACAAAACACACGTCTCAAACAAGCGCGTAGAACAAGGCTCCAATGGCGAACGCGGCGGTGCCGGCAACTCCTGCCATCCTGGGCGCCGCGGCACTTGGTGGCGGATACGCGGCCGTCGGCGAGATGTCGATGCCAAAGGGTGGCGGCGGAGAGAATGACGAGAATGGGCCGTTGGGGGACGGCGCCAGCCCCGCGCCAGGCTCGGTGCCGTTACCGATTGCCGCGCGCTCCGCCATGACGACGACGATGAGCTTCTCGCCGCGGTTGCAGTTGTCCTTGTTGCCGCTGATGAAGTAGAAGGGGCCGGAGCGGGTGAAGGTGAACACGGTGCTGCCCTCGGCGAAGGTGTCGATCGGCGCGCTCGTGTCGCAGGCGTCGTAGGACCTCTTGTCGACGAGGAGCACCGAGTCGTTGCCGGGCTGGTACGTGAAAGCTGCATGCATGGGCGCGCGCGCAGTCAAAATTTGAACCGCAGTAATCAGTGAGAGTTGTACTGAACGGTGAAATTTTGTGATTAGTCAGTTACTGTCATCATTAGCAATGCAATTAAGGGAGTTGGGTGTTTAAGGATGGCGATTGCGTCACGCCGTTGTGGAGACAGAAACGGCAAGACCACTGTAAAAATCCCGAAGATACGCTGCATTGAATGTTGCAGCCTAGGCAAGCGAACATCATTCTGCTTGGGTCAGCGCCGAATACAACTCCTGGACGCTTCCCTTCGTAGAACCACCGTGATTTTTCAGCGGTGCAGATATAGATATGCGGTTGCATATAGATATAGATGTAGATATCGATAGAAATACGGATATATTATAGAAAAAAAGATAGAAATACGGATATAGATATAGATATAAAGATAGAGATATAGTCATGCACTCCTAGAGATTTAAAGTTAAAGGATAGAGTTTGTAAAAAAAAGCTAGAGGATAGAGCGTTACAGGAATCTCAGCAAACAGCGTCTGCAGGCTTTCCAATTCTATTCAAACGAGGATGCCTGCGTCCTAGAAGTCAAACTTGAGAACCGTTACCGGTGGACGCCGGCATGCAAGCCACAGGACGCCTGCACCGCGCATCCCCGTACCGTGCCGATGCCATGGCATGCCCATATCTCGAGCAATGAATACCAGCGTATCCGACTCAGAACGAAAATATATCGCAGATTTTAATGCCTCTGCGCCGTGCGATGCTGGATACCCACTCATTCGATGTGCTGGTGGTCTGCTGGAGCAGCAGCACATCGATCCGGAACGGAAACTGATGAATGCCACGGCAAAAACAGCAGCATGCATGAGAGAGATCGATCGGGCTCACTCACCGATGGCGTCACCCACGCGGAAGCGGTTGCGTTGCGCCCACGCGTTGTACGCGCTGACGTTGCCGGTGCCGCTAGCGGCCGCGGCGGGCACGCGCCACTCGCCCGTGCCGCCCGCCTTGAACACGAACGCGGACGCGGTGGACGACACCGACGCCGCCACCAGGCACGCCAGGAACACGCACCTCATCACCCTCCCGTGCGCCATCCAGACGGCTGCCGGTCCCCGACAAAAAAACCTGTGTGCGCGCGGCGCGGCCAAAAACCAGATAGCGTGCGAGTGCGATCGAGCGTTGGCTTGCGTCGTCGATCGATCAGGTGGTTCAGGGTCGGCATGGTTATAAGCGCGTAGAAAAGCTAGCGATCGTATTCGTAGCACGGTTCTTTCCGTAAAAGTCAGGGAACGTGAACGCTGGGAAGAGGCATATTTCTGCCAAGCTTTATGCTCTGTAGTACGTGCCGTCCTGCATGGCGTGGCGTTTGGTCCTGTCGTGTGTTCTTGCTGCCACGAGAGTTTTTGGAAGCTGTGCTTTACTTCGTAGACGATGGTGACGAATATCCATGCCTTGGGTGCTACTCAGCTCATGTGAACAGCTAAGGTCGGTCTTCGAGAAAGGAAAAAAAAACTTAAGAAAAGGGGCGGAGTAGCGCAATGGGCCCAAGCTTGGACTGTGTAGCACTGTAGTGTGTACAGTTATTATGTGATTTAGTTCGGACCATAAAAATCGATTCAAAATTGCGCCCGTCTAAGCTGTCAACAAGGGCAGGAAACTTTGTAGTAGACTAGTAGTACATGGCATCGCCTTGGTGGTGATCGTTGCCAATTCAGTTGAGAGAGTTTATTGTGGCATCTTTGGTTCAGAACTAAATTTTCCTTATATTTCTTCTTACATAAAGTTTAGCTTTGTCACGCTTTTATGGAAAGAAGAAGAGTGAACAGCTAACCTTAGACAAACTTACAAACAGCAGGCGAAAATTAAAACTTCATGAATTGGGAGGAGTGGCGTGGATATAGGACTTTTTTCATAGAGTGTGCAGGAACAAAAATTTTCATATATAATTCAATAAAATTCATTTAGCAATTCAATAAAGTACCATAAAAACTGCTCTGTAGTTGTATACAGTTACTAAATAACACAATAAATGTTAAGTTTCAATATAAATAGTTCAAATGACGTACTAATAGTTTAGAATATGCACGAAAGAGGTAGTTATTATTTTATTATGCGACTCATCATCTAAGATTGCAAAGCTCTAATCACTGAGTCCTCAATTATTTCATTTCTAGTCTCTATGGCACAATATAAAATATTTTGCTTCCGTACCTTTGGGCTAGTTAACGAGCAATTACGTACCTAGAGCATTCTTGAGCACAAACATATTCATTTCTTCACTATGTACTGCAAGAAGTTTCAACCAATGTCTCCACCTTCATAATTCACAAATCCTACAATCAAAGAACATAATGCATAAGTAGTCAACCAATACATCCCACGCTGGAGAGCATCCACACCACAATGATAACCATAGGTGTTAAACGGAAATCCAGAGAGCATCTGCGCCACAATGGTAACTATAGGTGTCAAATGGAAGTTTAGAAGGCCATACACAATCGACATTCACATCCAATTACATATGCACTCACATCCACATTCACACATTTGCTAAAAAAGAGAGGAGAAAAAGGCATAGCATACTTGAGGTCGAGGGGACGTTGTTGGTGTAGGGGCAGCGCAAGGGAGATGGCCACACGCTGGGGCAATGCTCTACGGGGGTCGGGCGAGGGCGAGGTGAAGCGGGTTGATTGCGCCGCCGCTTGGCCATCATGCCCGTCTGCCGCTGAGCCACCGAGCAATCGTAGGAGGAGGTTGCAAGGCGATTCAAGGCAGAGATGAGCCCTGTGCCTACATCTATAAGATGCATCGAATTAGATTAGAGAGAGGAAAGTTAAGGTTAGGGATTTGGGGACCTTGAAAGGAGGAAGAAAATGGAGGTGTGCAAGCTTCTCACAAGGTGTGACTGCCGCCTTCTTCGATTTCCTCCCATCAGGGGCGGGCCGGTGGTGGAAGAATTGGGTTGTGTTGTACAGATGAGAAGAGCTGGAATGGAGATTCATGGCACTGGTATGGACAGAACTCGGTGCTATAGACGCGGACTCGGCTTTGTTGGGCGTCACCTCCTTAGTCAGGAGTCAGGTGGCGATTATTTGTCCACATGGGGCGGTGCTACAGCGTCAGACTCGACTTGTCAACGAGGAGAAGCTACAGAGATAGATATAGATGACCGCATGACGCTTTGGATAGTTTTTGTTACAAAATTACCAATTATACCTTTGTTGGGATGGGCCTAGGATATGCCATTCCATTCTTGTGCAGCCCATTGGATCCGCCCCTGACCAGGAGTCTTTGCTACCTAATTATGGGCAATATTAAGGCCTTGTTTAGTTCCTCCCCCTAATGTTTACTCCCTATCACATCGGATGTTTGGACACATGCATGGAGTATTAGCTATAGACTAAAAAATAACTAATTACACAGATGAAAGGTCCTTGTTTAGTTTTGGTAATTGAGTGATAACCTTAGATGGACTAATATGTGTTTGAGTGAGATACACAGGTGATTAGTCCACAAGTACATGTGTGTGAGCAACATATGCCATGATGGTGAAGATGGCTCGAAGATGTTGCAAAGCTCACACATGTGACGACAAAGGAGCCCATTGCACATGAGACATGACTTAGAGTTATGTGATCAAGGTGGAGAAGATCAAGACATGACTTGGCTCGATGGACCGGTTGCAAGTGTGAAGGGCAAGTTGAGTGATGACTTGGCGTCGATAGACCGAAGCAACGGTGAAGAGCAAGTGAAGTCAAGATCGATGAACCAATATGGTCACGTGATGATATAGAGTGGATCATATCATTGTTGATCATGTTGGTGCATGTGTTGCATCGACATTGGAGGAGATGGAATGGAATGCGCAAGGCAAAGGTATATTCTAGGGCATTTCATTTCACCGGTCATAGGTGTGTAGAAAAGTTAATGACCGGGTTTAGGATAGATGGCCGTACTATCAAGAGAGGCAAACTTGTTTGCATATCGATCACCTAGTGCCACTCGAGTAATCTAACTTTGCATCGTTGCTAGGATCGAGTGACGTGGCAAGTTGAGTGGTTAACTCCTTAAAAATGTTTGTGAAATGCTAACACACGTGCACAAGGTGTTGTTCACTTGGTGGTGTTGGCACATTTACAAAGAAGAAGAAGTTGGAGTTGAAACGGATCAACTCGGTGAAGAAACGAAGGTGAGAAGTGGTCACTGGAGGTGATCGGACGCATGCCTCGAGAGGACCTGCGTGTCCGGTCAATTTTAGCCGCGACGCGCTGGCTGGCCGAAGTCAAGGAGTTGGGACCGGACGCTGGCCCTGGTTTTACCGGCATGTCCGGTCACCTTTTGAAGGGCGACGTGTTGGCGTGAACATATGTGCGGGGGTTGAGTCTGGTCGACCGCGACGTATGTTGACATGGCGAGGCGCTGGAGACGATCTTGGCGCGCAGTGAGGATCGGACACCGCCGTGCGTCCAGTCACGATTCATCTGACGCGTTAGGTCATGGAATCGAGGCTCTAAGAGCTCTTTGTTCATGACCGGACTCTAGGGCTCGAGTGTCAGGTCGTGCCAGCGGTGCGTCCTGTCGTCTTGTGATCGTTGGCGCGTAGAGTTGACCGTTGGGATCAGGTGGCTCCGGTTGAAAGCGAGCGCCACGTGGATGACAATCTACGACCGGACTCTAGGGTGGCTGAAAGGTCCTAATGGCTAGAGGGGGTGAATAGCCTATTAAAAATTTATACAACAACACTTAGCAAATATGTTAGATAATTAAACGGCGAAGCGAGTGTTGCGCTAGCCTACTAAAAGAGCAAGCCACCTACCACAATTCTAGTGACTATGATCACTGAGTACACAATTTGCTAAGTCACCACACTAAGTTAGTGAGCTCTCAAAGGCTAACTAAAGAGCCTCACTTACCAGTAGACCCGACATAAGCTAGCTCTCAAAACTAATTACACTAAAGAGCTTAGCTACACTAAGAATGTAATACAAGAGAAGGAAAGTGATAGTTATACCGCCGTATCGAGGATAGAGCCAATCACAATATGATGGAGCCAATCAATCACAATCAATCAAGAAATCCTCGAACAATGATGACACAAGATTTTTTTACTGAGGTTCACTTGCTTGCCGGTAAGCTAATCCTCGTTGTGGCGATTCACTCACTTGGAGGTTCACGTGCTAATTGGCATCACACGCCAAACCCTCAATAGGGTGCCACACAACCAACACAAGATGAGGATCACACAAGCCACGAGCAATTCACTAGAGTACCTTTTGGCTCTCCACCGGGGAAAGGTCAAGAACCCCTCACAATCACCACGATCGAAGCCGAAGACAATCACCAACCTCCGCTCGATGATCCTCACTATACCAAGCCGTCTAGGTGGCGGCAACCACCAAGAGTAACAAGCGAATCCTGCAGCAAAACAGGAACACTAAGTGCCTCTAGATGCAATCGCTCAAGCAATGCACTTGGATTCACTCTCAATCTCATAAAGATGATAAATCAATGGTGAAGATGAGTGGGAGGACTTTGGCTAGGCTCACAAGGTTGCTATGTCAATGCAAATGGCCAAGAGAGTGAGCTTAAGCCGGCCAAGGGGCTTAAATAGAGAGCCCCCACGAAATAGAGCCGTTGGGCGCCTCACTACACATTCCTTGGGATGACCGGACACACCGATCAGATGTGATCGGACGCACGCCTCAGCGTCCGGTGAACCGATGTTGTCCACGTGTCACTCCCGTTCAACCTCGTGCGTACGATTCCGATGGTCAAAATCTCCTGTGCGATCACCTAAGTTGCGATCGGACGCGCCAACGGTCGACCTGACTCTCCCGCTCTGCGTTAGGTCAACAGAACCGCACGCGCCACCAATAGATGACCGGACGCGCCGATCAACTTGGCCTCCTAGTGTCATGTCACTTCCAGAGAGCTCCCCGAGCGGCAAAACAGCGACCGGACGTGTCAGGTGTTCCACGACCGGACACACCCCAGCGTCAGGTCCTCGTTCTCCTCTCTACGCGCCGCCACGTCATCAAGACCGGACTCGCCACCGTGCGTCAGGCCACAAAGTGACCTAGCATCCGGTCAGACG